ACCAAACAATCAAGCCGAGTGTGAAAACAGCCAGCGAATGCAGAAACACACCAAAATTCCCAGAAGTACAATTCAAGACAGACACATGGGCGGCTCGAAACAGGTAAGAGTCACATGACACATGCAGTGGGCCAGTGCACTTCCCATACTGACCTTCAGGTCCCTGTGCACTATGTCATGATGGTGAATGTGATTGACACTCTCTAGAATCTGATGGATACAATGACTGTAAAGACAAGCGAGAGAGGAGAGGACAGAAGGGAAAGAAAAAGAAAGGATGAGGGACGAGAGCCGTGACGGTGGTGGTGAGTTAGTCACGGGGAGACGAGCGCGGGAAAGGAACAACGTAGATTAGAGAGACTGTTTGATAAGAGTGATGAAATGAGACGAGTGATAACGGTGAAAGCCCTGATGTTACACAACGCAGAACAATAGTAGCACAGCCGGACGCATCATTTCCTGTGAAGCCGCCGATCACACGTGGGATGGAGAAATGGAGGGAAGGGTGGATGAATCAAACAAAGTAGAGCTGAAGATCTGGAAATGGTCCGTGTATGTGTGTGTCTGGGTGTTTGAGAGAGAGCACGGCTGGTTTCTGAGATGCTGACGGTATTTTTCAAGGAACACGCCACTATTTTTGAAAATAGGCTCATTTTCCAACTCCCCTTGAGTTAAACAGTTGAGTTTTACCGTTTTCGAATCCATTCAGCAGATCTCCGGGTCTGGCGGTAGCACTTTTAGCTTAGCTTAGATCATTGAATCTGATTAGACCGTTAGCATCTCGCTAAAAAATGACCAAAAAGTTTCGATATTTTTCCTATTTAAAACTTGACTCTTCTGTAGTTACATCGTGTACTCAGACCGACGGAAAATGAAAATTTGCGATTTTCTAGACCGATATGGCTAGGAACTATGCTCTCATTCTGGCGTAATAAGTTGGAAAATGAGCCTATTTTCAAAAATAGTGGCGTGTTCCTTTAACTCACATATCTAATACAGGCTCAACAGTAAAGATGGCCCGCTGACCCGGGAACAGTGTGAGAGCGTTTTGGGCCAGTTGGGAGAAAACTCACTTTACATTAAGTTCGGTGCTACACTGCCACTGAAAAACATTTGTTGATTTTGTATTAAATTTTATTTAAGCTGAAACATTTGGTTTTCTCTCATGTTTTCTACATTTCTGTTGCTTTGTCCTCCCACATGCATACCCACACAGTCAAATTGATTAAAGCTTTTCTCCTGAGGGTGACTGCAGTGTGTGTGTTTGTGTGTGTGTGTGTCTGTGAGAAGATCTGATGCAGACAGGAAAACCGGAATAGATGGAATGGAAAAAAAGAAGCCGATGGGAAAACCGGAGGAAAGGGACCTGCAGAAGTAGACGCACAGAGAGAGCTGCCGCCCACGCTTGCCGCCGCAGCGAGACACTGCCTCAAACATTTAACAAGCCTCTGAAACAAAACTCATCACTCATATGACATGTACAAAACTGTTACTCACATTTTATGCTAGAATATGTGCCAAACACACGTTTATCTGGTTAAAATGCGTGTGAAAGAGAAGAACAAAGAAGTGTGGATGGGGAGGGTGGAGAAGAGATGGCCGTGGTGAGGGTCTGGACAGGACAACAGGAGGAAATGGAGATGCTGTTTTACCTGGCGTCAGCTTCACTGTAATATTCTCTGGCTACGATGTCTTCAAACAGCTCTCCACCCGTCACACTACAGGACAGAGAGAAGATATCGGTACCACGGTCACCATATACACATTTATTCTGTGGTTTTTCAACTTCAGTTTGGTGTGCTTTACACTGGCAGAGCAAAATCTGTGCATTCATATTATAAAAAGCATTCGCAGCATGGCTGGGTACAATGAAATGGAGCAAATTAAAGAAAAGTAAAAAGTCAAATAAAAGATAAAATAAGAATGCAAACAAAATGAAACAAAACTCTAAAAAATAAATAAATAAATACATTTAAAATAATGAATTGAAAATCATTTAAAATTAAATTAAATATTAATATAATAAAATTTTAAAAATCTAAAAATTTATTTACAAATGTACTACTAATAAAATAAACTAATACTACATAAATACATTCATTAATTAATTCAAAATAATTAATTAATATATGTTAATATTTTTAACAATGATGCAATAAACAAATATTATAAAATAAAACAAAAAATATTAATAAAATAATAAATTAAATATTTTAAATTAAATAAACTGGTAATAAGAATTAAACCGCTAAACAATAAACAGCTAATAAATAAATGGTAATAAATGTTAAACTTGTAATATAAATTCAAATATTATATATAAAAATAAATCGTTATAAAAAAATGTTTTTTTAAAAGTAAAACATAACTTCTAATAAAACTAATATAATAATAAAAAATAAATTATAATAATTAAATTAATAATCAAATCTTATTTTAAATTAAATACTTTTGGTTATATAAACAAATATTAATAAAATAAAATAATAAAATAAGAATCAATGAAGTAGCAATTTAACCAAAAAAAATAAAAATTAAAAATAAAAGGTGATGTGTTATTCAGTACCTTTTTTTTTTTTTACAATTACTAGCATAAGAAAAATACTTTGTCCTATGCTAGGTTGGTCTCGTTTGGTTGATTCATGAGAACAGACTGGCTCAACCAATGGCACAGTATTTAGTATTTCGAGATCGCATACTTCAATTTGCAAGTAAACTAAAGTGCAAATTTTTGTATCAAAAGTAGCAAATAATGTATCAAGAATGTATAAATAAAGCAGCATTTATTAAACAAGTACAGTTAAGGAAGATAAACTAAAGACAGCAGTATTGATCTAATGTGGTTGTGCATGACAAGAAAATTAATTCTGGCGTAATAAGTTGGAAAATGAGCCTATTTTCAAAAATAGTGGCGCGTTCCTTTAACTCACATATCTAATACAGGCTCAACAGTAAAGATGGCCCGCTGACCCGGGAACAGTGTGAGAGCGTTTTGGGCCAGTTGGGAGAAAACTCACTTTACATTAAGTTCGGTGCTACACTGCCACTGAAAAACATTTGTTGATTTTGTATTAAATTTTATTTAAGCTGAAACATTTGGTTTTCTCTCATGTTTTCTACATTTCTGTTGCTTTGTCACTAAAATATGTAGCTACTTAACTTAAATTATTGAGGTTTTATAGAGGTCTCAAAACTGGAAAAAAAGACTAAAAAAAAGTCTTGGGAAGAATTATTAAGAATGTACTAAAAATTACAAACCTATTAGTAATGTGCTTATGAATTTATGAGTTACATTACAGGTGAACATTTCCAGCTTCTAACGAATTTTCTTTTTGCAACAAAAATTTAAAAAAAGAAGAAAACTAAATTGTAAAAGACAAAAACTATTTAAATACATATTCAAATAACAATTCTTAAATATAATTAAATGTATTCATTATTTTATAGGTATATTCATTTTACATTTAATATTAAAAAACAAAATACAAGTTTGGGGCCAGCAAGTTTTTTTTTTTTTTAAAGAAATTATTACTTTAGTGCATCAGCAAGAATGCATTAAATTGATCAAAAGTGACAGTAAAGATATTTATAATAAAGACATTATAATGTTACAAAAGATTTATATTTCAAATAAACACTGTTGTTTTGAACTTTCTATTCATCAAAGAATCCTGAATAAAATATATCACGGTTTCCACAAAAATATGAAGCAGCACAACTGTTTTCAACATTGATAATAATCAGAAATGTTTCTTGAGTAGCAAATCAGCATATTAGCATGATTTCTGAAGGATCATGTTGACACTGAAGACTGGAGGAATGATCACAGGATTAAAATACATTTTACAATATATTCAAATAGAAAACAGCTCTTTTAAATTGTAAAAACATTTCACAATTTTTCTATTTTTACTGCATTTTTAATCAAATAAATGCAGCCTTGGTGAGCATTAGAGACTTTAATCAATCTTACTCACTCCAAACTTTTTAACAGTAGTGTGTGTATTTAAAATTATTTAAATAAATATAGCTATAAATAAACATTGATAAAAAAATGTATTGATGTGTCCTTAAAGCGATCGATCAGATTTGTAAACAATTAAACGGCAGAGACTTTTTACTTAGGCAATCACTTAGCAACCACCTTAGCAACAGCATAGTAATGTGAAGAAAACAGTAATTTTCTTCAGAAAGTGTGAACATCCAGTTTCTGTCAGGGATTTCTAGTGCTATGGAAACAGCTCAAACTCAAATAAAGCGAGTGTGCAGGTTTGCAGCACGTGCGGTGCTGAATATGAGCTGACACCGTAATTACGCGTGTTAATTAGAGGCCTACTTTCAGCCATTGCTCAAGTGGAGGCAGGTGGAGGGGCTACGGCCCTTGGGGACGGATACATTTCACTGTCCTGACGGCATCGTGACACGTTTCTACCCACGAATATGGCTGATGAGCTCATGGATTCCAGTAGTTTCACCGCTCGCCAGCTCTTGTTTCCTCCCTCGGTAAGTATCTCTCGTTCTGTTTCTCGCCGTATATCTCACTCCCACATGCATACCCACACAGCCAAATTGATTAAAGCTTTTCTCCTGAGGGTGACTGCAGTGTGTGTGTTTGTGTGTGTGTGTGTCTGTGAGAAGATCTGATGCAGACAGGAAAACAGGAATAGATGGAATGGAAAAAAAGAAGCCGATGGGAAAACCGGAGGAAAGGGACCTGCAGAAGTAGACGCACAGAGAGAGCTGCCGCCCACGCTTGCCGCCGCAGCGAGACACTGCCTCAAACATTTAACAAGCCTCTGAAACAAAACTCATCACTCATATGACATGTACAAAACTGTTACTCACATTTTATGCTAGAATATGTGCCAAACACACGTTTATCTGGTTAAAATGCGTGTGAAAGAGAAGAACAAAGAAGTGTGGATGGGGAGGGTGGAGAAGAGATGGCCGTGGTGAGGGTCTGGACAGGACAACAGGAGGAAATGGAGATGCTGTTTTACCTGGCGTCAGCTTCACTGTAATATTCTCTGGCTACGATGTCTTCAAACAGCTCTCCACCCGTCACACTACAGGACAGAGAGAAGATATCGGTACCACGGTCACCATATACACATTTATTCTGTGGTTTTTCAACTTCAGTTTGGTGTGCTTTACACTGGCAGAGCAAAATCTGTGCATTCATATTATAAAAAGCATTCGCAGCATGGCTGGGTACAATGAAATGGAGCAAATTAAAGAAAAGTAAAAAGTCAAATAAAAGATAAAATAAGAATGCAAACAAAATGAAACAAAACTCTAAAAAATAAATAAATAAATACATTTAAAATAATGAATTGAAAATCATTTAAAATTAAATTAAATATTAATATAATAAAATTTTAAAAATCTAAAAATTTATTTACAAATGTACTACTAATAAAATAAACTAATACTACATAAATACATTCATTAATTAATTCAAAATAATTAATTAATATATGTTAATATTTTTAACAATGATGCAATAAACAAATATTATAAAATAAAACAAAAAATATTAATAAAATAATAAATTAAATATTTTAAATTAAATAAACTGGTAATAAGAATTAAACCGCTAAACAATAAACAGCTAATAAATAAATGGTAATAAATGTTAAACTTGTAATATAAATTCAAATATTATATATAAAAATAAATCGTTATAAAAAAATGTTTTTTTAAAAGTAAAACATAACTTCTAATAAAACTAATATAATAATAAAAAATAAATTATAATAATTAAATTAATAATCAAATCTTATTTTAAATTAAATACTTTTGGTTATATAAACAAATATTAATAAAATAAAATAATAAAATAAGAATCAATGAAGTAGCAATTTAACCAAAAAAAATTAAAATTAAAAATAAAAGGTGATGTGTTATTCAGTACCTTTTTTTTTTTTTACAATTACTAGCATAAGAAAAATACTTTGTCCTATGCTAGGTTGGTCTCGTTTGGTTGATTCATGAGAACAGACTGGCTCAACCAATGGCACAGTATTTAGTATTTCGAGATCGCATACTTCAATTTGCAAGTAAACTAAAGTGCAAATTTTTGTATCAAAAGTAGCAAATAATGTATCAAGAATGTATAAATAAAGCAGCATTTATTAAACAAGTACAGTTAAGGAAGATAAACTAAAGACAGCAGTATTGATCTAATGTGGTTGTGCATGACAAGAAAATTAAGCGCGAGAGAGAGAGAGAGAGAGAGAGAGAGAGAGAGAGAGAGCGAGAGCAGTATGGATGGGGGAATCCTCTAGAAGAGAGAACACTGGGGCTTCGGGGGGGAAACCCCTGCTGCAGGATTTCTCTTCGGCTGGGCAGCCCAGCTCTGTTGCTATGGAAACTGGCTCTCGAGCGAGCGGGGGAGAGAGAGAGAGAGAGAGAGAGAGAGAGAGCGCGAGAGATAAAGAGAGATGCGAGGGGAAGGTAGAGTGGGTGGGCGTCTGTTGAACTGCACTGAGCAAAAACAAAGCAGAGAGAGAGAGAGATATAATGCGCCATATTATATGAAAGCACTTACAGGTCAAATAAGAGGTAATGGAAGCCTTCCTCTGATATACTGTCATGGAGCCGCACTGCATTAAAGAGAAAGAGAGTCATAATTTCATTACATACTTTCATTTGCCATTCACTCAAACAGCACAATTCGAAGAGCAGTTTCATGGGCTGAAAACATATGCTTTCTATATTAATGCCCCTCTTAGCTAATTCAAACCAGACCGTGTGGCACTTGCATCCTTAAAGAGGGATTTCACACTGATTACGTCATGAATAGAAAAGTTTGGGTATATTTGTGAAGCTGACTTTAATGGACTCACCGATATTGGGATGTTTGAGCAGACGGCAGATACGGGCTTCCCGTTCCAGCTTCTGGTGATCTGGGAAAAGAATTGGGTCCGTGTTAAGCCTCATGTAATGGAGAAACTGCAGATGGAGCAATTAAATGTTAAAAAAGCTTTTTTAACCAATTAACAGTTTGCAGAAATCTTTTGTGGAATTTCATGAACTTTGAGGAAGTTTAGCTACTAGAAAACCATGTTAGCCCTTTCACTTTCACATGAATTTTAGTGAACCACAAGTTAACTAACCAACATATGCCAGATTACCAAGTATTACAGCAAACCAGGGTTATTATCGTTAACTAAAACCTAAAAATTAACTGAAATAAAATTTAATATAAAAAACTATTTCAGCTATTTGCAAAGGCAACATTTCTCATTTTCGTTTAGTTTAACTCAAAGTACTAAAATAACCCAAACTAAATACTATAACTAAAACTAATAAAAATTACACAGACCATTAAAAAATACTTTTAATAAAGGAGAAAAACACAACAAAATTACTAAAACTTTCAAATTAAAATCATTCAGAAAATATAAAAACAAAATTTAATCTGATTTAGTTTTGTCAAACGATTAATCGCATCCAAAATAAAAGTTTTTGTTTGCATAATATATGTGTGTGTGCTGTGTATATTTATTATGTATATATAAATACACACACATGCATGTATATATATTTTAAAAATATTGTTGTACATGTATATATTTTAAAAACATTGTATATATACTATATATTTATATTTACATATAAATATTTTATATTTATTAAAAAAAGATATTTTTCTTAAATATATACATGCATGTGTGTGTATTTATATATACATAATAAATATACACAGCACACACACATATATTATGCAAACAAAAACTTTTATTTTGGATGCGATTAATCGCGATTAATCGTTCGACAGCACTAAATCTGATATATTGCCAAAAACTACAACAGTATACCAATAACACTAAAATAACACCACTGCAGTAGATTCAGACTGTTAGAAAATCACGCTCTTGCAAAAACACTACACTGAAACGTCATGAAATAGTAAGTTGGCACTATTTAATCCACAGGGGTTTGGTTCGATCGTGACAATTGATTATCATCATTATTTTTCCCCACCCACACATCCTTCTTCCATCAGCAGAAAAGTCATTTCAGAGGTGGAGAAAGCCATTGCATTATGAAGAAAGATTATGAACTCCAATGAACCATGCACAATAAGACCATGAATATTTATATAATAATTTATATATAATTCTGAAGGATTGTGATATTGGTTTTTCTCTCCAGTCAAACAGTTCCTGCTCAATTCACACTGATCTCAGATCAGATCTTGTTAAAGCAGTCTGCACATCACTTCAAACACGGCAGCAAAGGTCAGACTCAGCATCACGCAGACCACAGGGTCTACTGTAAACCACGCGGCCAACCGGCGGCTGGAGATCGCCCAACCTCTACTAGATTGAGTGTGGAGCACTCGAATCTGCATGATACAGAGAGACAGACGAGCGCAGCCGAGAGGCCTGGACCGCTCCGGCACACCCCACGGAGGAAGCCTGCTGTCTGCCATGCATGAGTCATACGAGAAAGAGGCCGCAGATTGTCTACAGCGCTTCACGATTCAGAGTCCTGATAAAAACACACACGGCTGGCTGACCATCATCCCAGCATCATTGAGAGTTCCCAAATGGACTAATATGGATTGCAGCTATCATTAAAAGTCTGACTGGTGATGTTTAACATGAGAAATCAAATTTTCTTTCTGATGTACAATAAAAACATACATTTCTTCTGAGCTGCAAATAGAACGTATCAAAACCCAATTGTATGATAGAGGGTGTAAAATGGTCATAAAAAAATAAAATTAGGAGTGTTTTGGTACAAAAACACCACTCAAAAGTTAGAGGTTGGGAAGATTTTTTTTTTAATGATTTTTTAACCGAAGCTGCATTTAATTGATCACAAATACAGTAAAAATACAAATATTGTACATGGTTATTATCATTACCTAAAATTAACCTAAAAAAAGCATTTAAGAAAAAAAAAAGTTTTTTTAAACATCAAGTAACCTTTAACGGAACTGAACCTTTAACTTTAACTAGGCATGGGACGATAACTGGTATCAAGGTATACCGCGGTTTGGAAAAGTCACGGTTTCAAAACCACTAAAAACCGTTCCTGCGGTATGCACAGTTTTTTTTTTACATGTCATCAAAGACGGAAAGTGCAGGACTCCCTCAATTGTGTGCAGCAAAGAGCGTAGCGAGTCACACGACCCCTCCCCTTCCGGTTGCTGCGAGCAGAGTCACCTGTGTGTAGGATGGCCGAAGGAGATGAATCCCTGGAACTTTTTCCCCCGTCGAAAAAGACGATGTCTGTCGTATGGGAATTTGTCGGGTAGAGTAGACTAACCATGTTCCGTACACAATGATGGTTCCGTACAGATGACGTTTTAGCGCCGATCGCTAAATAAATACTTCCAGGTCGTACGTAATCTATATATTTGTGTCATCTACATTTCTGCCTCTTTCACCCCCGATCAAGACAGAGACCCACCCGCCGTTTGTTTCAGTGTTGAAATAAATATTCTTTGGCTTGCTACCGAGGCAGATAACATGGCTAATTAACTAGCTAACGTCAACTCGTTTCCTCCCTTACGTTACTTCACAGAGTGAGGAATAGCAGTCTAAAGTACTACGTTTCTGCGATTTAGTACAATAATTAAATTTAGCTGGTATGACGTCTATACTTTTAAGCCTCCTGCCATTGTTTACATCTGTTCAAAATCACGACATTTAGAAAACAAACTAACTGCTGGCTCTCAAGTGTCTTTGCCACTGTTTGAGTGTTTTACGGAGAAAGACTGTGTGTGTGTGTGTGTGTGTGTGTGTGTGTGACACTCACGCTCTCTCTTTCCTTATGTGTGTATGTGCACACATCCTCGTACCTCACCGCTCCAAACCATAGCTCCAAACTTAATCCAGTAAAGGTGAATATTCCTGCATCATAACTTGGACTGAAAGATGAATGTGTAGAAAGTGGGCATGTCTCCAAAAACCTTGTTGAGCTGCAGGTTTATGCATGCATTTTTTTTATAGATTTTTTTTTTTTTTTACAGAAATTATATTCTGATTTTTGTTTTAGATTATTGAGCTGCAGCTTTAAGCTCACTTAAGTGATTGAATTTTTTTTTTCATTTAGAAAATTTTTTTTTCTTTTTTTTTTACAGAAAATTATTTATTTATATCTTTATATATGTTCTGATTATTGTTGAGCTGCAGGTTTAAGCTCACTTAAGAGACTGCACTTAATTTAATTAAGAATAATTCAATTAATTATTTTAATTATTTAGCCTATTTAATTATTTAGTTTACTGTTCTAAAATGTTCTAAGTTTCTTAAAAATAAAATGTATTGTGTTCAGTGGGGGAAAAAAGTTGTTTTTTACCAGACATTTAAAAATAAAATTTTAGAGCTGTAATCCCAATACCGTGATAACGTGAAACCATGATATTTTTTTTATCTAAGGTTATCATACCGTCAGAATCTCATACCGGCCCATGCCTAACTTTAACGAAAACTGAAATAAAAAGGCACAAACAGTACAGACATATTAAAAAAAATTATATAAATTACAAACACACAAAATGACTAAACCTTCAACTAAAATTAAAATGAGAATTGAAAATGAAAAGAAAAACTAATTTAAAATATTCATAAAACAATAACAGTATATGAATTATACTAAAATAACACTGATATTGTGAAATATTATTTCAGTTTAAAAGAACCATTTTCTATTTATATATATTTTAAAATGTATTTTAATCCTGTGATCAAAGCAGATTTTTCAGCATCATTACTCCAGTGTCATATGATCCTTCAGAAATCATTATAGTATGCTTATTTGCTGGCTGCTCATGAAACATTACTGATTATTATCAATGTTGAAAACAGCTGTGCTGCTTCATATTTTTAGGGGTGTGTGATATCACGATTTTTGATTGTGGACGATGGGGTCATGAACTGAGAAATCAAATTAAGTTTTAATTGATTTTTACCTTTTATGGGCATTTTTACCTTCATAAGGCCCATTTTTTTATAACCTTATTAAATTTATGCATCATCTTTTGTGTCAAATTCTTACATTTAATCAATAAATTCAAATAGTAAGACATTACTGTACAGGGCTGTTACCAATCAAATTAAATCAGTTTCAACAAAATTTTCATTTGCATTTAGATGCATTCACACAGATCTTTTGTACCTGCAGTTACAAATGCATAATTAATGTTTTGATGTTTAAAAAAAAAACTTGAATACCGATGTTTGAAATGATTTTGGGGGGGGGGGGGATAGAAACCATCGTTGACCAAGTAGAGCAAAAACAGGAACTTGTTTCTAAAATTTAAGTAAATTAATATTAACTTCTTGTTTATTGGACTGATTTATAAAATCAATATCACATTTGCAATCATACTGATATTTGGAGAAAAAACTATGTTTGTATGATTTTAACCATATCAGACGATATAAAAGACAAAAAAAGTCATATTATCTTGAATTAGGGCTGTCTCGGTGAGGGAATTTCCCTTGCGGTAATTTTGAGTGGCTCAATAGTGTGGTATGTGGTATTATCGCCATATATGTATATATATATATATACTGTCAGTCAGTGCAGTTACAGTGTTGCGCCACAAGGTGGTGGTGTCATTCAACTACACGTTCAAAAACGCTGATTCATTTATTCAAAGAGATGTAATGAACGCTGTTGAAATCATTTTAACTTTGAGCGCCACTTTAGAAGGCTCAGCTGACCAGCTATGCGTCCATGCTAAGACAGAGATTTCACTTTCCTTGAACATAACAACCTATTTTCACAAATATATATGACTCGGCGTGGAGGACAGACGCAAGTAATTGCATGCGCTCAGTCGATCTCTCTCTCATTCACTGTCTGTTTAGTCTTGTTAAGTGCAAATCTACGGAGCCTCTACAAATCAGCATGGTACACATTATGTTATCATTACTAACTTGTT